GTCTGTTTTTAACAGAAGTAAGGAGGGAAAGAGGATTATTTATATATATATTTATCAATATGCAGACAGACCATCACTGCATTCCTAGTGGGCTGTTAAAGAACCTCTTTATGGGGAGAGATATGAGTCTTACTACAGTAGTTTTGACTCCATGCTCTGCATCCACACTGACTCTTCATTTCAAACTCCTGATTGCCGTCTTGAATGGCCAGTCTCCAAGGGATTTTATTTTGATTTCTTTAACCAAGTAGAACTTTGTTCAGCTGGGAGTCCTCATCAATTCCCGATCATGCAGAGCATTGTATTCACCTGAGTAGGAGCTAAAGAGTTTGTGCATGCTTTGCTGCTCAATATGGCAAGGGGCTGGATTTTACTGAGTCATTTGTATGGCATCTGGTTCTTCTTCAGGTGCCCCCAGTACTTTAGTTAAAGGAATTCTACTTTCGTTTGTTTAACTAAGTAAAACTTTGTGCAGTTGAGTGTCTTCATTGACTCCTAGGTAAGTTAAAGTTAAAGAGATTCTAATAATGCATAAGATGAGGAAGTATGGCATGGGATAAGATAAAAAAATGCATATTTGAAATATGGTTGCAACTTAAAATGAAAAAATGGCTTTTATGTGCATATGCTTTTTGCATATGAAAGCCAGTTTGGTCTAGTGGTTAAGGCCCAGGCTAGAAACCAGGAGACCATGAATTCTGATCTTGCCTTAGCCATGAAAGCCAGCTGGGTGACCTTTGGCCAGTCACTCTCTCTTAGACCAACTCACCTCACAGGGCTGTTGTGGGGAAAATAAGGAAAGTATGTTGGATATGTTCAGCACGTTGCGTTATTTGCAAAAATAATGCAGATAAATAAAATATGCTACTTTCTGCATTGATCTTACACACTTTTCTCATTATGGCCCTGATACATTCACAAGTGGCTTTTAACCCAAAAGCAAGATTGTGTATCCATGCTTTAAAATAATGTATTTGTATTTATAGAGAAAAGTCAAATAGATTACCATTTTGTTTTAATACTTCAGTTGCTTCAGGCAGCAAAATAGGATGGGTGTGTGTGTTAAAGGGCCATCTTTTTTATTTGAGTTATATGACTCTACGTAGCTAGGCTGGCTCCAGAGTCCTCTCTAATTACAATAGAAAATGTAAAGTTGGCTGAAATACAGGTAGAAAAGTGAGTAGTTCTGCTGAAAAATGCATTTTCCAATAAAGCTTGCATTCAAATTGATGATTGCAATTATGCATTTTTAAGATCTAGTTACTTATTCAGCTTGTTTTTCTTTCCCCTCCATTCCTTTCTCATTTGTTACCTTTTTAAATTAGTAAACCTAATAGAGAAATAGTCTTCTTTCCTATTGGACCTATTAAAGCTCATTTAAGCGCTCATATTTTCAGATGAGAACAAAATAAAAATGCTTTAAATCAATAAATCTCCAGTTTTTGACTTTACACGCAGTGGAACTTACTTCTAACCAAATAGGCTTAATGTTGGGCAGGCTCATTGTTATGTGTTCTTTCCTCTCTCGTCCTTTTAGATTTTTCACCTATTAGAAAAACTGAAGGGAATTCAAAATCATTCTCAAAAATGGTGAGTATAGCCATAGTAAGGAATGTCACCTCAGTATCTGAGCACAACGCCTCAGCTACCCTCCTCTTTGTTGGCCTTGCTGCTCCCAACTGTCGTTTGCTGTCTTCTTTCTCCGTCTGCTGACGAGGCTTGCTCAGCTTGGCCCTATGTGAGGTAACTGCTGGCCATGCACATCCTTCTCTAAACTGCATTCTGTCTTCTTGCAATGCTTTGGAAAACTTTGCAAGAAGGCCACACTTGCCCCTCTTCAAATCACATGGGCAATTTCACAGGTAGCTTCCAACAAGCAGAATCAGTGGAGAAGCCGGCAATAAAATCTCAAGTTACAATCCTGTGATATCTTGCTTAAGGACCATGGATGATTTGCTTAATGACCACAGCAGAAGTGAGATCATGATCATGTAATGTCTCACTTAAAGAGCACATCATTTAGTGATAGAGTTGTTGTTCCCAGTTGTGGTTGTTAAGCAAAGACTAGCCGTAGAATAACACAGAGTTATTTGCCTTAAGAGGTTCATGTGTGGTAGTCCTAATGTTTTTGAATGTTAATATGTAATAAACATTTTAATAGTATTTTTTATTAAAAAATACAATTACAAAAGTAAAAATTAATTAAAAAAAAGAAATAGTGGAAAATACAGAAAAGAAAAAATAAAGCAAAATAAAGCAAAAATAAGAATGCAGTAAGAAAAAAGAACTATATAATGAAATGACTTCCTCACATCAAATGTAAACAATTTTAATAACTTATTGACTTCTCTTAAAATATAACAGTCTCTTTCCATATCCCATCTCTTATCTATAAAATCTTTAAAACCTAGTCATATCAGTTCTGATCAGCAAAAGTCCATTAAGGGTTATCAGACACATCAACGTCTATTTTAACCTTGACCAAATAAACCAATTTTATATTCCCTCCTTTACTTTTAGCAATTTTGCTCTTTAGTCTCTTCAAATAATGACCTAGAACCTGATTTGTTTTTGTTTTTGTTTTGTCCCTTCTTGATTGTTCAAAGCTTTGGCAAAGTAAATCCAATATAGGAAAAATATCAAGGTCTCTGTCTGGGCTTGTTATATATATAACCCTTTTAACTATTAAGTCAGCACTGGGCTTTTTTTGTATTTCAAGTGTATAATATTTTTCTATATCATTTTTGTGGCCTGTCATTTCTAAATCCACTTTCAGATCAGTCTCAATTTTGTCTAGTAAAACCTTTTCCTCTTCCATAACATTTTTAAACTCAGTCTATTTATAGAGATAGACATTCTTAAATTAACTTCTGAGTCCATTCTTCAAAAATAACCTTTAATATGTCCAATGTTAAAATATGTTGCTGTCCTCTATTAGTCAGTAAAATTTAAGTGTTCTTCTCCTTTAATTGTTTATTTCCTTCTGGTCCTTGTAGTCACCAACCATCTTAGCTCATTTTTTTAAAAAAAGAATTCAAAACAAAAGCATTTTCCCATGGGTATTCTTATAATTTATTTCAAATATTATTTCAAATCCATCTGGACCCTTCATTCTTAAACATGTATCTAAAATTTCTTTCTCTAACATTGAAGGAAACTCACCTGGTATAGTAAAACCTGTTGATCCAAAGGTTCTTAATAGCTGGAAAATAGTTAATGAGCAATTTCCAAAAGTGATTAGAAAAGGAAGTACGCAAACCCAGTGTCTTTTTGAAGGTGCCAGTTGCCCATTCCCTTGACTCCTAGAACTCTAAACCCACCAGAGACCAAGTGTGGAGCACTTGTGGATGATCTCGCATCCTCCCCTTGTCCAGAGAGAAATTATCTACTTAACTGGCACTTCATTCCATCACAATTATCAGATCTGCTTTTAGTTGAGATGCCATTTTCCCCCAGCATCGTAATAGCCATTTCCATTGTGTTACAGAAGTCTGTATTTATATATTACATTTATTGTTACACCAGTTATGCTAAATTGTCCAGTATTTGTGTATATTGAAGAAGATGGGTGAATTTGTTGCTGAAACATAAGGTTTGAACCAGAAACAACTTTGTTTTTGCTTTCTTTTCTACCTTTATAGTGTTGTTGTATCTCAGTGGACAAGTATGCTAAAAATAGTGGCAATACATCTTGACAAGCTTGGCCTGAAACATGCCGTAGTGGATGGTTCAGTGAACCCAAAACAGAGGATGGATATCGTTGAAGAATTCAACAACAATCCTAAAGGAACCAAGGTATGAAAAAAGTGCTCCAAGGTAACTATTTTTCATTGCTGCTGCTTCGGAATAAGTATTTCTAATTTTAGGTATTTGCCAAATTATTATTTTTTTGCACAAAATAGCAATTGGAATGTTAACTGACTATTCTATTGGCAAAATAATTAATTGATTTTTATATTTCAAAGGCCTTTCCCTAACTATTCTGAATCAGCTAGAATTGTCTGTAATGATAGATTGATAGATTACACTTTGCAACTCAATCTGTAGTCTGAACTGCAAATAAAAGGAAAGCCTTCCACTGATTCTTTTCATAAGACAGTTTTGGTATTTCATGCAGTGTTAGATTCAGAAATCTGCATTCTGAAAGTCATTACAGTTATAGTGTATGATTCTGTCCATTCGATCAAATTTAAAGCTCTTATAGCTGAAATCAATTATTCCAAATCAATGACAACCTGCATTGAAGTGAAGAGTTTCTGAATTTTGTAAGTCTTATCCTGTCCATGTTACAAAAATCTCACTGCATTCAGTGGGGCCATTCCCAGGGTAATGCAGAGGAGAGAGAGAGATAGCCCTGTTCTAGGAGGCAAGATCAAAAGAACTGATGTGAAAAGTGATTTCTACCTTTCCACATGAGAGTGGCAATATTCTTGTATATAATTGTATGTTTTTTTCAAAAAGTATAGTTCTACAGAGAGTGTTCTATGAATTTAGAAAAGCAAATAAGAAAAGCATCTATTTAGAACTTAACTGACTGCATTTGTGCTTGATCTTAAACCAAGACTTTTAACTTAAGTCAGAAGACCTTTGTGGCTTAGTTTGCTTATAATGCTATACCTTAATGGGTTGATTTATACATTATTAAGACAAGGACAAATCCACCTTGCAACTTAGTGTACTTTGTGGGAATTTTGCTTTATATCTTCTCCAACCTGACACACTAGATGTGTTGTACTGCAACTCCCAATATTTCCAGTCATCATAGCCAAATTATAATACACATCTGGATGGCAGTATAAATCAGCCCTTGAATATATAGTATATCAATAACTTGTGAAATAATAAACCAACTATCCCTCTTATTCTTATCATAGGTGTTGTTAATTTCACTTCTGGCTGGAGGTGTTGGCCTTAATCTGGTTGGAGGAAACCACCTCTTCCTTCTAGACATGCACTGGTAAGATACAGCAGCTTTTTATTTCCACGTTAGAAAAAATATGTTGTTTCCAGTTACAATAATTAAATCTGATTAAAAGAATAGCATTATTAATTGAGGTTCCCAAATTATGTCAATTCTTTTTGTCATTTGCCATTCAAAATAACATGTTAAATCTATACCTGTTGGCTGTTTAATGAAATGAATCTACCATCTCCCTATATTTGTCAATTACCTTCTGAATTATTATTATTATTATATTTTCATCATGCCTTATTTTATATATATTTGTTCAACTGAACATGGCAAACATACCTAAAACTACTGGCTCCTGTTTTCCATACAACACTCTGTTGAGATGGGTTTGGCTGAGAGTGAGTGACTGGCTGAAGCCCCCTAAAAGGTTTTCATTCCTAAGAGAGCTTAGCGTTTTCTATGCCAGTACCTTAACTACTATACCATCTGGCTTTTAAATTATTTTTAATTGCTGCCCCAGGTGGTGAGCTGCTAGTGGCTGTTACTATCCATTACTCTTTCCATATTACATACTAACTGCATTGAACAGAATACTAGTTGTGCAACAGAACGAATAGAGATGAAGAGACAGATGAATAGATACTGGGAAAAATGATGGATGCTATTGCTGATTCTTCTAAGGAAAAGATGATTCTAACAAGGTAGAAAGGGAAATCTATTGCTTGCTATTTGGTTCTGTTTTCACTTTTTTTTGGTTGGTTATAAGTGCTTCGTTACTTTTTCTTAAATTTCAGGAATCCAGCACTAGAAGATCAAGCCTGTGACCGCATTTATCGGATGGGGCAGCAGAAGGATGTTAAGATCCATAGGTAGTGCTTCACAAAATGTCTTACATCATTGCTATAAGTTTTGACAGAGGAATTGTGTCAAGTACAGAGCTCAAAATTGCATGGGTAAAATTATTTCAGTTTGACTACTATCTTTAAAGAATTGTAGAAATTTCAATTTGAGATTGTTCAACTAGTTCAGTCACTTGATCCAGTGAAGAATTATCACTTAGCTGAAAACTAACTGGCAGTGCGTCAGAATTTATAGGAATGATGGTTTAAAAACTGACCTAATTGTATATTGTGCTTGGGTTTAGATTTGTCTGTGAAGGAACTGTGGAAGAAAAGATCTCAGAGCTGCAAACCAAGAAAAAAGAATTAGCCCAGAAGGTGTTATCAGGAAAAGGAGAATCCTTCACCAAGCTGACTCTGGCTGATCTCAGACTTCTGTTTGGCATTTAGCTGTTCATTTTTTTAAAAATTTCTTCCACTACACAGAATAAATGTGCATTTGAAAAGTTCGCTATTCTTTAATAAAATGGCCAATATTATTATGCTACAGCTCTTTTTTATGTGTAAATACTATTCCATGAAAAGAAGGACTTACCTATTTATCAAATTTAGGTACCACCCGTCTCACTGTCAGAGCAATTGTGAGTGATATTCAGTTAAAAGCATAAAAAGCATTTAAAAGTGCAGGTACATCAGTAGAAGTAAATGGGCGGAAACAAAATTAAAATAAAAGGCAGGAGAAGGGCTTTAAGGTGCCAACCACCCCCAGGGTTGCGTGCTACTTTGTGAGCCCCATGTGAGTTGGCAGGGCCAAGTCTTCAAACTCTTTTGAAAGGCCAGGAGAGAGTGTCCCCACCTCACCTCAAGGAGGAGATATTCCTCAGGGTAGGGGCAATGGCAGAGAAAGTCCTCTTCCTATCCTGCCAAATTCTTCAGCTGATGAGGTCTGTAACACCTTCCCTGCTTGGCCAAATGGGAAGGACTGATGTGATGGGGATAACATTTATTTATTTATTTATTATTTTTTTTTTAAACTTCTATGCCGCCCTTCTCCCCAGAGGGACTCAGGGCGGCTCACAGCATGTTAAAAAACAACACAAAAAAAAAAAAACATTTCCCCTATAAAACCAATTAAAAAGCAAATATATTAATGGCTGTGTCATATTTAAAATCTTTAAAAAATTTTAAAAATTATTCCCTATTTAAAATTCACCCTAGGTCAGTC